ATATATATGTAAATAAATTTAGTGTTTTCACATGATTATATACTTCATTCGATTCGTAAATTATGGGAGGAGTGAAGTGAAACTCAAATGTTATTAAGTGTGTATATTGTGTAAAGAATCGTGAAAACGGGACTATCTTAATCCTGATGGAAAGTACTTTATGACCTCCTTAAACGTTGATCAAAATAATCAAGGGATAGTCAGAGGTTTATATATTCCAGCTGTTACTAGGCACAATTATTGTTATTAAATAATGTCAGTACAATTCTACAATACAGGGTGCATCAATGTTGACAACAGCTATTTTAAAATATGGGCTCGAAGCAACAAGCGGGTCAGCTCACGAACTGAATCAACAGATCAGAGTAGTAAAAGGACGACACATCAGTATATTAAGGGCTAGAAACAATTTCATAAGAAGTGATATACCAAAAGAATAATGTTGTGGTTCCTCAATGTCATCTCCACAAAACAGCTTTCTTCACTGGTGTCAAGAACATGTGGATTGGTAATATGACATGTTCGCGAATGTCTTGCTCACGTACATAAATCAATTGCAGCCACATTTGCTGATTTCTGGAATCAGATCCAACCCCAGTTTCACGGAAGGAAAGTCACATCGCGTTGACGACTTATTGTTTAGGAATGGATCAGTATTGGTGACTACACTAACTTTTATGTGATCCGACATGGTACTATAAATGCAAACAATATAGAGGTGTGTAATCTTAAAATCATTAGTGTTGCCACGTTTTGGTGCATTTGGTCAAAGTTTCATAAGATGGATGGTAACTCTCATCCCTTCGCGATCAGCTTCCTGAAAGAAAGGGTATGGAGCGAATGAACTGGTTACTGGACTTGATTCCCGGTAGACGCTTCGCAGCACGGGATTCATCTGGAAGCAGGCAGTGATAATGAACTGAAAGGAACTCTGACGAAGTAGTAGTCATATGATACCCCAGAAGCTCATTGATTCACTCATTGTATTCTTGACACATTGATGTACAACTTGTTTTAGTGTCAGAAACGGCCACACCTCTTTTGAATAAACATTGTCTGGTAATTTCATTGGTTGCCAATACCAGAAGAGCATTTCTGGACAAGATTCCAGTAGTAGATATTTGTGTATTAAATCACACAACTGACTACCTCGCACTTGTTTTGCATAAGAATAAACTCGGGGATGCTATGATATTATTTAATAATTATACATTAACAGTCGTGTTTTCTCAATGCTAGAATATAGAATACCCTAATTATCCCTTACTTATTTGGAGCAGAGTAGTTCAAACGAACGTGCATGAATATGACTTAGCTGTTTACTCCTGTATAGTTTTAATAATTATACATTAACAGTCATGTTTTCTCGATGCTAGAATATAGAATACACTAATTATCCCTTACTTATCTGGAGAAGAGTAGTTCAAACGAACGCGCAAGAATATGACTTAACTGTTTACTCCTGTTATATTTCAGTAGTACCATGTTGATTTATTTCTTATTATCTGACATCGAGGATTGATTAATTTTGACTTAGATGTACACAGCGTGGTCACAAGTGAATAGACACCACCTTTTCAGAAAAAAATGAAAATTTTCAGTCATATTCACATGAATTGATATATATTTATAATTTAATTAATATCTAGTACATCTTCCTTTCACTTCGTGGAA